CCTATCTATACAAAAGCCCTGCGTACAGGCTAGCCTCTAAAGCTTAATAAACGCGCTAAGAGGCATTTAATTTGCTAGGCAGTAAATAATCCCTTTGCTACGCTCTAGACTATTGCGACACTGTCTAAGACCTACTGCCGCATCTATGCTAGTACTGTAAGGAGATACCTTGTAAAACATAAGTACTACGCCTTCTGTCTACGTTACAAGCCTTAGCTCTTAGCTGTACATAAAGAAAAACAACTCTGCTTTGCTTAAATCTATTAATATAACAAGAGCAGTAACGTGGCTTGCGTAGCCTATTGTAATAAAGCAACATTTAAAGTTGGCTTAGACACTAGACCTCTATATGTACGTCAGCAGCATAGAAAAGCGTACAAGAGTTAGTACCTAAAGCCTACATTTAAGTCTAGAAGGACTACAGTCTCTGTATTTAGTGTAATCTCTCTTAATTTTAAATTAGAGCTGTTTATTAACTAAAAAGGTGAGCAGAATAATGCTAGCAAATACTGTTAGATTCTACACAACGTTAGCATCCCATTCTATGAGCAGCTTACAGAGAAACGCGGTATTAGCATATAGATGCAGGATAGAGCCCCTATTTATACTGCAAAGGCTACCTAAAAGTATATGGACAACTATAGCATAATATAGATAGATTAGCCTCTACAAAGTCTTAATTTAAACTTAATTAAGAACCTTTAGTAGATTATAAAGCTCCGCATCTTAAAGCAACAAGAATATATTACTACTTGCAAGCAGATAGTAGATATCCTTAAAGAGGAATAGGCAAAGATTACACTAGCTAATTATAGGAAGAGTATCCTAAGCTAGTTAAAGCGCATAAAGGAAGTTATCTAAAACAAAGGCAGGTTAACTCACTATTAATTAACTATAACGCTAGAAGATAGGCCTTAACATAGGCTTCTTATAGAACTAAAAATCTTTTAATTTAGGTAGCAATTAGTTAAGTAACCTCTTTCCTAAATAGGCTAACTATACCCCTGCAGAGCTTGGATTGTTGAGTGGCTAATAACTTTTAGTAGGCGACTGTACAACTTACAGTTAGATACAAAAATCCACACAGATGCGTCTCTTAGAGCTAGCAGGGCCGCGTTTTATTAAAAACAAGAAGACAGAAAATAGTACCTAGTCGCGTATTATTTTGCTAAATTCTTAGGACCTAAAGCAGGCTACAGCATACCTAACAAAGAGCTAAAAGCAATATTAAACGCTGTAAGAGTATAGGCCACTAAACTACATAGAATAGCAAAGCTATTCTATATTATAACTAACTATGTAAATCTAGTTACATTCTTAATAGTAAAGAAACTCTTACTAATGCACATAAAATAGGTAATAAAGCTTGCCTAGTTTAACTGCATTATTAAGCATGTTCTAGAAGCACAGAATTAACAGGCTAACGCCTTTAGCTAAAGACTAGACTACTTTAACAAAGAAAAAGAAAGAACTAAGGAGTTTACACTTTTTAAAGAAACTAATAAAGGATAGATTTACAATAGGCCCTAACTTATAAAAAAATTCTATATGCTTATAGCTAGTAAGTAAAAATAGAAAAACTTAATTAAAGAATATTATAAATCCCTAATGTTTAGACATCTAAGAATAGGCACCCTCTAGAAAAAATTAAAGACTGCTATACTATAATAAATACTAAAGGTAAAGTAATTATGCACAGAGGTGCTTAGAGAATACAATACTTGCAATAAAAACAACCTGCAGAGGCATAAGACATATACGTACCTCTAACTAATTAAAGCACTAAAATTACTATAAATAATAATTATAATAGATTTTATTATAAGATTACCTTTATCTAAGAAACTAGGGACAGACAAGATGTGCAACATAATTATAGTAGCCCTAGATAAAACTACTAAGTACCTACACACCTAGCTCTTAGAAAAAACAATAACTGCTAAAAAATTTATTTATAAATTAAAATAAAATATAATATTAGTATATAAATGCCCTAAGATTATTATCTTTAATTAAGATAAGCTGTTTACTAGCAGCTTCTAGAAAGTAGTAATGCAGCACCTTAGTATAGCACACAAGCTATTAACAGCCTACTACCTGTAGACAGACAGACAGACTAAAAGAGCAAATGCAGAAATAGAGAGATATTTAAGAAAGTATATTTTCTATACTTAAGATAACTAGGCAGAATAGCTTCTAATAGTGTAGTTAGCTATTAATAATGTAGAATTAGCTACAATAAAGAAAACACTATATAAAGCTAATTTTAGATATAATCTGTACTTTATGTTGCACAGGAATTAGCCTATAGACCTATAAGAGTTAATAGACTAACTAAAAGACTTACGCTAGATACACAAGAAGTTAGCTATAGAAGCTAGATCTAGTAGAGAAACAATAGAAAAGTATGCAAATAAATCTTAATAACTAGGACTAGAAATCTACCTAGAAGATTATGTATACTTTAACACTAAAAATCTTAAGATAACTAGACCTTCTAGAAAGCTAGTAAAAAAAAAATTAGACTATATAAAGTCTTTTAAACTTAATAAGACAACTGCAAGCTTAAGCTTCCTCTACATATAAAGATACACCTATAGTTTTACATCTCTAGACTAGAAAAAGCACTTAAAAAGATTTCTTTATCTACACAGAGATAGAAAGACAAGGAAACAGAATATAAAGTTAAGTGTATTATTAGTAATTAAAAGAACTAAAAAGAATTTCTAGTAAAATAAAAAAAATAGCCTACTAGCAAAAATACATAGAAACTAGCTAAGAATTTAAAGAACACGCAGCTACTAGTATAAAAGTACCTTTAGGCTTATCTAAAAAAAACTAGCTAGGCAATAAGGCACTTATATTAAAAGAAACAGCTATGTTATTACTAAATAGCAGCAGCCTTTAAAGACAAGTCCTAGCTAATAATAGTTAAGAAAAAAAATAACTTTTTACTTTAGCTTTAAAAGCTTCTATCTTATTTAAAAAAGATAGATCCCCCTCTAAGTACTTTGCGCAACAAGCCTCTAGCAAATCTAGTAATTTTTAGATATAATCCTGTTTAGAATGCTCCCTATCTATTGCCCCTAGCATCTCTTCCTGCAGACAAAGCTACTCTTAATCCTGCGCTAGTTCTTTCTAGTCTTAAGCCTATTACTTATCCTACAACGCGCAGTTCTAAGCCTTTAAAGCCTTAGCCTCTTAAAAAAGTGTCTCTTTCTTTTTCTTTAAATAATCTTATATAGCATTAAAAATAAAGGCGTTACATTTACTATGCTTTTTTACACACTTAATGCACTTATCTAAGGACAAAGTTAACACATAAAACAACTCTAAGAATTAGTAAGCGCTATAGGGCTTTATTTTTATCTAATAAAAAGGATTAAAATAATAAGCAATATAAGAATAGTAAGATAAATAAGACTAACAAGCTATTTAGTATAAAATAAATAAATGTTAAGAATGCTTTTTAGTAAATAGACACTTATTTTATAAATAAACCTTTACTAACACAGTTGTGTAAGCAGAGCAGTGAGGACGCTGCTAGGGAGAGGGGGCAGCGTGTTACAGTCTACAGTTAGACCAGCGTAACCCTACCAGCAGTGCTCCACAATCTAGCTAGTTTGGGGCAGGGCTCGCTTACAGACTAATCAGAGGACGCGGAGGTAGCGCAGCTACCTAAGATTATAGAAGAATGTGTTATCTAATAAGAGGACAGGCTGTGAATTAAAAGGAGTTTAAGAGAGCTTAAGAGAGCTTATAGAAACCCCTCTTAGAGGGCTTTTATAAACTCCTGCTAACTCCCCTTAGCGTCCCCTGCACATGTATATAGTTCCTACATTAAACAACTTTTAAAAGGTGTGTTTAATGTTTAGTTTATTCTTTACATAGACTAAGTAGCATTTAGCTTTCTAAAGAGCTATAATACTATTTATATATCTTACACTATATATACCTCTAACTCTGTCCGCAAGGACTGTTTAACCCTAGCCTCCCTACTGCCGCACATAGGGCAAACCACAATCTAGTCACTCTCCCTTCCTCCATTAGCCCAATAGCCTGTACGTAGGACTGTACACCCTACCGGATTGGCCCCTACAACCCGTCCTACTCCCCCGTAGGAACATAACAAGACCCGAGTGCTTCCCGAAGCAAGGATTGTAACATAAACATATATTAGATGCTAGCCTGTGCGCTAAGCAAGACGCCTGATTATGTCATCCAAGCTTCTGAAAAGGAAGGCTAATACCTGCTTGTATATCAGATAGATAGGTCTACTAGTGCGTTAAAGAGAGTGCTAGTAATGTCTATGTTTAATGTATATTATAGAGTAAGACAAGCGCTTTAAAATAATAGTAGTTTTAAGAATTTTAACACAGCATTAGAGGGAGAAGTACGTGGCTAAAGATAGCAACGTTAGTAGCTAACAGATAAACTAAGATACACACAACTAACTACTATTTTCTCTTAGACCTTTAGGACAGAATTACCTCTCTCTAGTTTAGTGCGTTCTAATTAGCTTAGAGGTTCTTAGAAGTTCTTAGAAGATTTAATTAGCTTAGAAGATTTAGGCGTTTTGTCTATTTCTAAACAGGTTAAGGGCAATTCTAGTTTAAGGGTCTGACTCGTGAGATAACAGCCACCCAACTTGACTGTGACGGCGTAGGAATTTCACCGACCACAAATAGATGAAGAGACCCAGCATACCCAAGTCGAAAATATATTGAACTCGGGGATGATCAGCTGAGATGTAGTGGTAGTTTGCGGCACAGCCATGAACCTTGGCATGGGAACATTTTTCAGGGAATGAGACGTCCGGATTCCGAGCGGGACGTGTGTAAGAGCTGCATGTAGAGGTTTGCAAAAGTGGAAGGAGGCTGCACCAGTCCCTCAGCCAATCATTCCGTCGTACCACGAGGGACCAAGACTTGGTGAAAAGACAGATCCGCAGGAGAAGGCCTTTTCAATTCTGTGACGATACAACCGTTAATATCTTCACCATGGCTGCGTATCTCATCACAGGTGCAAGCAGAGGTACGTGCGGCCCTTTTCGATCATATCTAGTAAATCTTGCAGTCTAACGCCCAAAGAAGGCCTAGGCAGGGCCTTGGTCGAGGCTCTTCTCTCCCGGCCCGAGAACACTGTCATAGCTGGCGTTCGAGATTTGAGAAGCGCAAAAAGCCTCTCATTGACCGACCTTCCATGCGCGGACAGTAGCAGACTGATTGTCGTAAAGATCGATTCAGCATCTGACACGGATGCAGCAGATGCAGCGCGCACACTCTCGACCAGATACGGGGTTGATAAGATAGATGTAGTGGTGGCGAATGCTGGATCAGGAAATGTGTATGGAGACCTTTCCGCAGTGAATCCTGGGGAGGTGAAGGACTTGATTGATGTAAACGGTGTAGGTGAGTTGTAAGGACTGCATCAGCTCGGATGAGGTGTATTTGTATTAACCGTTTCGCTTGCTTCAGGACCACTACGCCTATTCCAAGCTGTCCGGGGCTTTCTTGAGAAAAGCGAAGCAGGGAAATTCGTTCTCATCGGTACACCTATTGCAAGCATCGGGGCCATGGAAAAGGCACCATGGCCTATGTTTGCCTATGGCGCAAGCAAAGTCGTTGCACATTATCTAACGAGAAAGATTCATTGGGAGAGTCAAACTTTGACTGCGTTTGTTGTTGACCCTGGGTAAGACCTTGACCTGGACGACATCTATGCAACTACTGAGGGAGTGCAGGTTCATGCAGACAGATATGGGCAACGCTGGTGCGAGATATTTCGGTTACCACGAGGCATTTGTTCCGGTTGAGAATTCGTGTCAATTTGTTCTTCGACAGATCGAAGAAGCCACACGCGAAACCCTCGGGGGAAGGTTCGTTACGATCGATGAGTCTAGAAAAGAGGTCGAGTGGTGAGGCATACGGCAAGCGGAGTCATTGAAATTATGCTACCGGCTACAATACAACCAAAGGCTATCATCTTAGCATTGCTTTCGCGCCAAGATCAATACTGCAGGCCAGGACATTGAGGCCTTTCGGTCCCGGCCGCCCATCATCTCTCGTAATTTTTTCAAATGTCCGTCCATAATCTCATCAGGGCCGGCCATCTCTCTCGGCTTTGGGAAAACCGCGATAACAAATCTTCTCACCATCTCAAAATCCCAATTCACGTTCCAGAAAGTGGGATCGTACTTTTCGGTAACGGCCTCAAGCCTGTTCACAGAACTCACCGGTTCAACCTTGAAGTCACAGGCAGCCGGCCCAAAGAAGGCCAGGCGAGCTTTGGTATTGTTCCACTTTTGCCGGCGAACGTCCTTCCATTGACCTTCAGAAAAGGGAATGTAGTCCAACCAGCTTGCCATTCCGTCCGCTGCCCGCTTCCAGCTTGCTCTCTGCTGCCCATTGCCACCGCTAACCACCGGCTTAAAAGCCTGATCCATCGCAGCATAAAGTATAGGTTGAGCTTCTGTTGCAAGCGTTGGCTCGATGAAGAAGGGTGGACCATAGAACCAAATTGCCAATGTTCCACCGGGTCGTAGCAGAGTGAATATGCAGCGTAATGCCTTCTCGGTATCGAGCAAAGGGAAAGTTAAAGCGCAAGTAATCATGTCGAAGGATCCTGGAGCGTGGTATTTGATGAGTTCCTCTCCTTTCGACATGGTCCAGGAGAGTCGACTGCGCGGAATGTGTTGGAACCTGTGCTGCGCAAATTGTACACTGACGGTATCATTGTCGCTCGCGGTGACCCGACCAAACATGTCGAGCAACGGTCCAAGGGTAGAGCCAGCGCCGGTACCGATATCGAGAGCGTCGCGGAAAGGGATTTTTCCTGCCGCATGGTAGGCAAAGATGGGATCAAAGATAGTGGAGTCGTACTTGGGGCGCGTGGCGATGTACTCGTCCCAGTACGCTGCATCGATGTTTTGAAGCTTCCAAACACTGTCATTCATACGGCTTGCCGGTGGTCCCGAAAGGTAATTGGTGGTTCTCCGGGGGCTCAAGATAGGTACGACTCGCGCAATAGAGCGCAAACCGCGTGCACTCTTCGTTCCGGCAAACAACATGGGGCGAGTAAGCATCCCGATGTGGAGTGTTGGATGTTAAACCGAGGGAGAGGGCTAGGCATACTAAAGAGTTCGGGAATTTTAGCCTATGATCGAAGTAGAACTCTGGCGCCTATAGTTTCGGGGACTGCATCAATGTGTAACGTGCAGAGGCATGGGGCCACAACAGCACTACGCCGCGCCAAGCATTGCATCCTGCGGCACATAAGTCGAAGCTGCGCTCCCCAACACCCGCTACATCGACAGGCATCCACACATTGCGACCGCAAACCTCCTCAAAGCTCTCAACAAGGCTCTGATATGGAGCCAGCCACAGCAGACTATGTTGTTGTAGGTGGAGGTCTCACAGGCTGCGTCATTGCTTCCAGTCTCGCGCGTAGCGCTTCATCGCCATCGGTTATTTTGCTTGAAGCCGGCCCTGATCCCTCCGGTGAGCCTGGGACGGACACCATTCTGGCTGGCCTTGGGCTCCTGGGTGGGAAACTGGACTATGCGTACCGCAGTGAGCCAGTTACACAGACCGCCGGCCGTGTCCACACTTTACCTGCAGGAAGAGCCCTCGGAGGTGGATCAATTCTGAATTTTGGGGGTTGGCTCCAAGGCGATGCCCACGACTATGATCACTGGGGTGAAGCAGTTGGCGACGAGCGATGGAGCTACCGAGGAATGAAGCCTTGGCTTGACAAGGTAGAACAGCGCTTTGGGGCCGCTTCGATCTCTTCAGACCCACGAAGAAAGTATCCATTGCGCAACACCGTCGAAAATGCCTGGAAGGAGCTGGGCGTTCAGCGCACAGATGGCGAAATCGGTTCTATGACTGGCCTCGCGGAGTTGAAGGAGAACTCGCGGGATGGGCTTCGCCAGCCTTCGTATGCCGCCTACCCGCTGAAAAGCGTCACCGTTTTCACCGATGTGACAGTCCGCCGAGTGACCTTCATTGGCAAGAAGGCCACTGGTGTAGAGCTGGGGGACAGTAGGATCGTGAAAGCGTCGAAGGAGGTCATCATTTGCGCCGGAGCATATCGCACTCCACAAATTCTGATGCTATCTGGCATCGGAGCTCCAGAGATTATCTCCACCCACAGTATTCCACTGGTCCATGCCGCGCCAGGGGTTGGAAATAACCTCTTCGACCACTTTGCGATATACATGGCATTCCGCCTGAGCGATCCATCTCAGAGTCTCGCACTCGGAAGCCCTGGGTGGACGCATCCGTCGCTGTTCAAAGGGCTGCCATACGACTGGGTCGCCAGCGAACGCGTGCCGGAGGAGTGGCTCGAGAAGCATACGGAACACTCAGAGTTGCGGACACGGAACTTGTTCGAAGTGCTCGTGGTTTACGTTACTCCTGGGATTCCGGGAATTCCTGTTGACGGGACTCATATCGCAACATCCACGATGCTCCTGCTTCCAACTTCGCGAGGAACCGTGTCGCTCAGCTCGTCTTCACCGAATGATCCACCCAAGATTCAACCAAATTATCTCTCCACCGAACTCGATCGCGAGGTACTTATGTACGCTGCTCGTCGCACGCTCACAGTGATGCTTGGAACGGAGTCCATGAAGCAATGCATCGAAAGCGAGACCCCTCCCGTTGGACCGGAGCTGGAAGGCTTGACCCCCCTCACGACTTATGTCGCTGATGAGGTGTTGTGGGAGCGAATTGAACGCTCGGGAATGCAGCATCATCACTCGGGCGGCACAGCGGCCATGGGAACTGTAGTGGACGCAGAGGGTCGCGTGGTCGGCGTGGAGGGGTTACGGATCGCCGACGCAAGTGTGTTGCCAGTTCCGCTTGGTGGGCATCCTCAAGTGACATTGTACGCTATGGCTGAGCAGATCGCGAGCTGTATTATAGGTTAAGGTGCTATGTATTTAGGACGGCGGATATCGTGTCGATATCCAGAGTGGCCCAAACTTTACAGGGGGGCGATACCCAGTGTCGATTTACGTCTGCACGCAGAACAGAGGGTCGATATCCATCGTGCGCAGGGCAGAAGGCCGATATACAGTGTCGATATCTACCTACGCGCAGAGTAGAGTGTTAATATCTAGGCCACACATAAATTGACACCGTTAAAAACAGCGATAACGACATTGTGTGTCCTAATCTTGCCTGATGTGTAATCGTTGTTATCATCAGGAGCCACACATTCCAGCCCTTCGTGCCTTTCGTCGAGGAAAGCTTGCGCGGCAACAGACTCTGTAGGTATGGCGCAGATCTAGCCAACAGTGTAATTGTTAGGATTTAACATTCTCGCAGAGTAATATAAACCTAGGGTTAGGAAGTGAGATCTTCTTGCCTTTAGGCTCTGTTGTAATATTCTGTTGTTTTCGCGGAAGAGTGTCTGCGAAGCCTAATATCCTTGATTGCTTAAATGCAGATCGTGCAAAAGTTACAGCTAGCAGTGAACTTTCTGTAAGAAATTATTTCAAGATAGCATTGTATTCTGTTAGCGCTAAGATAACTTTAAGGATTATTTAAGTTAATCCTCTGCCTAAGTTATATTTTATATTAAATTAACTTAACTTAACAATAATGTTCTAGCGTTATTGTATTACTCTCTGCTGCGCTAGCTGTCGGCAGTCCTATTATACAAACTAGTGGAGCATGTTTTGTGTAAAGATGGGATGGTAAGTAGCACGGATAGCACTGAGAGCAAGCTTTCGGAGAAAGATAGGAGTGTATTGTAAGAGAGACGAATCGCTGCCAAGCTTCGCTTGTCAGGATTCATGCTTATATACGAAGCACAGGTCATACGACCTCCAAACAGGTCAGGTGAGGCCATACTGGCCCGTTCTGGGACATCCGGCCTTACATTTTGTAGGTATTCAAGTCTGCTCTTGTGTTATTCTAACTTTTATAGACATTGCCTCTTGATCCGGAGCCGCTCTGTTAGATCTTAAATATTTTACCTTCACAAATAACATTAAAACTATCCGAGTGGCAACGCAAGTGTCGGGAGCGCCTCTTAGAGCATATTAGTAAGCGCGTACACGTTCCTCCTCATGTAATCCTAACAAATATTAGAGGAGACGCTAAACCTCGATGTGTCCCCTGCTAATGTCCGGCTAGTTCCCGCCGCCAAGGACCTATACAATTGGAAATATTCGCAATACAAAAACTATCTCTTCAATTAGAAAATAACCTAACTTTCACTCAGCTGCTGCTAAGAACTGTACAACAGTATAGGTTCTAGCGTTTGTGCGGTATTTAAATCCAACAGGGAAAATGTGCATCTTAAGGTGGAAAAGAGTAACGTACCTAACGGGTTGGCCGGCCACACGGGTTGGCCGGCTACTTTTGCCAAGCCCCCACCAAACTCTACCTATCTACATAATGCCTTAACAACAACACTAGATTAAATCTTCTAAAGAACGTCAGATACAGCTTGCTCTTTAGGCTCTTAAATAAGACTTAAAACTCTTCTTACAACGCGCTGCAGCTATCTATAATGTCTCTCACACAACACTAAGCAATTAACGCGCTAGACGGCCTTCACAAGCAGAATGCTGGCCTAAATCAAGGAATCTAACTAAGCTTAAGAAGGAGGTAGTTGTTAAGTACATACTTAAGCTTATTACGCGCAGATTTCCCCCTAGGCTTGCAGCTGTAGCTAATATAGCTAATTCCTTGCCCACAGAGCGCAATCTAGGCCAGGTTAGCTTAAACTAGACTTGTCAGATTGAAGCACTGTTTCTGGGCTTCCTGAGATGAATGATGGGTTTGGATATGATGTATGGGATGATTGATTGATTGTATTCATTGTGTTTTATTTATCGATCCTTTTTCTGCTCTGCTCGTGTTGCTCGGCTTTTGTTTTTCCGATCCGAGTCCCTCGCGCACTAGCCCTATATATCCGATATATGGCCACGGATCGCTGGCTTTCCGTAACCCTAACTTCCTTATTCCGTTTAGCGCGTCGGCTAAGCGAGCAGCGAACGACTGGAATCCGTCAAACAGAAC